TTTAGTGAGACCCTATCTTAAAATAAAAAAATATAAAGGGCTGGGAATGTAGCTCAGTGATAAAACACTACTGGGTTCAATTCCCAGTACCAAAAATAATATCAAAAACAAAATAAAATAAATGAGGATAATAATAATAGGATCTACATCGTAGTGTTGTTAAGAGGACCAAGTGGGTTAAACAAGTGGGCCTGGCAGAGTGAGGTGCTTACTCTTTCAAGGCTGCCTCTTGTCATTAAGCACCCACCACTTCCACAGGACTGAGAAAGCACAGTGGAGCAGTTGACAGCAAACTCTGGGAGAGATCTACTTTCTGCATTTCTCCTACTATGTGCTAGCTATGCAAGCTGGAGCAATTTACTGAATCTTTCTATGGCTAAGCTTCCTCACCTGTGAAAAGTAGAGGTGATAATAATAGTACCTCATTCAGAGGGCCATTGTTGAAACTAAGTGTTCTAACACATACGAAGTGTTTAGCACAGTGTCTGACTCCTGTGAAGTCCTCGGGCATGTGAGCTATTACTATTCCCTGGCTATGAAGAACCCTGGAGGCAACACGGCCCCTGTTTATTTAAAGAGATTTTGAACCTATAAGATTTTATTTTCTTCTTTCACTTTTTAGGGTATTTATTTCTGATTTTTTTTTTGGGGGGGAGGACTAGGGATTGAACCCAGGGGCGCTTAACTACTGATCCACATTCCCAGCCTTTTAAAAATATTTTATTTAGAGACAGGGTCTCACTGAATTGCTTAGGGGGCTTGCTAAATTGCTGAGTCTGGCTTTGAACTCAACATTCTCCTGCCTCAGCCTCCCAAACTGCTGGGATTATAGGTGTGCACCACTGCACCCAGCTTTATTTCTGAATTTTAAAAAGAAAGATAGACTTCTTTATCTTTCTCTCAAAGACAAGAAAATATTTTCGCACCTTTTGTGCCCTGTCTGCAAGTCCTATTCTACATATAAGAATGGAAAAGAACCTCGGAGTCCATGTGCTTGCACCCCAGACACTAGGCAGGCAACACACTCACTGCAACATTCTAACAGAGGAAAGGAGGCCTGCTCACAAGGTGAGGGCCCAAGATCATGATGTGGCCACACTTCCCATCACACTGGTGATGGCTCAAGGCAGGGTTGCTTGCTGGTCTTACATGTAACTTGCTTTGGCATTTTAGGGGAAACTTTAAAAGTAGCCTTCTAGATAGAAATGGAAGCTGTCAGACAATATAATTTTTTTGGAGGCAATATACTTTTTCTTTTTCTTTCTATTCTTCCACATTGTTTCCCTAAAGACACAGTGTAAACTGAGTGTAAAGAACAAGAGTCTAGGCTGGGTATGGTGGCACATCCCTATAGTTCCAGGGACTCAAGAGGCTGAGTCAGGAGGATTACAAGTTTGAAGCCAGCCTCAGCAACTTAGGGAGACCCTCAGCCTCTTGGTGAGAACTTATCTCAAAATACAAAACAAAAAGGACTGGGGATGTAGCTCCCTGGTAAAGGACCTCTGGGTTTAATCCAGAATAACAACACAACAAAAACAAATAAACAAAAAGCTAAGGGTCTAGTTTTCTTATTGTGATTAAATGAGTTGCTATAACAAAAGACAAAGGCCAGATTGACACTAGATGAATGTTCCAGAGGACATAGTCTCTCTTTTTGTTTTCTTTTCCAGTTCTCTCTCTCTCTTTTCTGGAGGAGGAGGAATGATAATTAGGACACGTGCTCTACAAACCCTCCAATGTAAGTAACGGTCTTAGGAAGAAAGCCTAAATGTACTAGACAAAGAACTTCTAAATACTGACCCTTAACTCTTATAAGGCAAAGATAACAAGAGAAGGAGGGTGGAATGAGAATGGCTGTGGAAGCAGTAAATCATAAAGAGGAGAAGAAAAGAAGGAAGAGGTGTGGAGGGAAGACAGTTAATGATAAGGTACCAATCGTGGGACCAAAAGTTGGTCTGGTGTGATAGGTCATCATGTGCTGTACCTCCATTTTCCATGCTAGAGCCAAGGTGGCTGTCCAGGGCCAGACCTCTTAGTCCAATACAAGGCTCTGAATTCCCAGAATCATAGCCTTTGAGAGCTGGTACAATTCCCCGAGTTTATCTGTCCTGGCCAGTATAATAGTCCCTCAGTACTACCCCAGATTTTTCTGTGGAAATGTCTTCTTTAATGAAAGACTCATTTATTACAACCTATGGGTTTCTGTTGTTGGACCATTCCAAACATTCCCAAGATCTTCTTAACACTATACTGAGCCCCCCTATGTCCTCTACAACTCTGGGTTTAAATAATATTTTCTGGTGGCCTACTCAGCAACAAAGGGATATATGGGCTCTGGAGTGTGATCACCTTGGTTTTTACCCAGGGTCAGCAACTTATGCACTAGCTCTGTGACCATTAACAAATTAATCTTTCTGTACTTCAGCTTCTCATCTATAGAATTGAGATATTAATAGTACTGACCGAAAATTAGATGATCTGGGGAGAATTATGTATGGCACAAACAGATCATATGTTCATGCTCAGTAAACTAGAGAACTGTAGCTACTGAAAGTTTACACTAGATCATGGAGTTTTCCAAGGCAAAAACTGGGCCTTATTAATCTCTGTAACTTTTTTTTTTTTTTTTTTTGCGCCAAGCATAGGGTTTGGCTGAATATTTTATAAAAAATAAATGATATTGGATGACTAAACAATTAAACAGCAGTAGCTGTATTCAAGCATAAATCCCTGTACATCATCTTGGGTCTATGACAACCTTCTTTTATAAAAATCTATCACTGAATTCTTCCCCGTCCTCAATTTAGCTACTGTTAGTTGCTCCTCAATCCAGAAATTCCCAGTTTCTCTTCCCAAGGTGGGATGGAGAGCCTTGGCTCAAGGCAAATGTCACAAGAGCCACCCTTCAGACATCAAGTCCAATCCTGTAGAGAAAATCACTGTGAAGTGTCTTGCCCTGTTTTCTTGTAGCTAAAGTTATAAATTGGGATTAATTTGTCCTGGTTTTTGTGGTGATCACATGTGGCCCCATGGGCTACCAGCCGTCTGAAAGCCTGGGGCCCAAAGGAAGAGGAATAAGAAAACTCTGGGAGAATCAAGATCACAGAAGGCTGAGAGGGAATGAGATAGGGGAGTGGCAGCAGTGGGGAGTAGATAAAATAGGAAAGGAAGAGGATCTGGGAGCTAAGGGACCCTGCATCTAGCCCAGGAGAGGCAGCCTACAGGAATGTCAGCAACAAGCTGGAAGGTCCAGCTGCCAAACTGAAATGGCGCTGCCTGTGGAACAAATAAAAGTACTAAGAGAAAGCTGGAGGAGGAAGCACGACGCTCAACCAAGAAATTAAATATCAAGGAACTGCTCCTTAAAAGTTCAGACACTTTCCCATACATCAACTCCTGCCTATCCGCGTCTCTGGCAGGAGCCTGGTGGCTGCTGGGTTCCCATCTCATCCCACTCCACTGTTCCTTAGGACACAAACATTTTAAGGGCTATAATCAACACACTAAATGTCCACACTGTTTGATATATCAGTGAAGGTAGAAAAAAAAGTGGACAAATCTTGACTTTAAAAAAAAATCCCCCTAAACATCCACACTGCATTACCCACCGTGGGGAATGGGGGGGGGGGGGGGGCAACTCCAGATTTGGCTACCCTAGGACTTCCTTTACTAGGGGCTCTCTCCTAACATGTGGTACCTTTCTTCCCCCACCTCTGACACACGGGGTGAATGGCAGGGCACACAACCGAACAAGAACAGAAGTGCTCCCTCTTAAGCCCCCAGTATCCTGGGGAAGAGGCCCCAAGCCTTCACGGGAGGGGGTGGAGGGGGCGGGGAGGGGGCGGTTGTAGAAGATTGCTTGTTTATTTGTTTCCTGGAACACCCTGTTAAGAATCTCAGCAATTGCAGTTAGTGCCCTATAGTTTGGCAAGCAGAGCTGTTTCTCGTCGTTCCCAGCTGCACGGGATCTAATTCGCAAATACACCATCTTGCGTTCAACACTTAAATGGAAAACAAGCAGCCGGGGAGGGAAGCAAGTGGTCTAACTCTGCATGCCCCTTTCGGAGGAATTTATATTTCTAGGTTCTTTGACTAGCTGGTGCCGGCTGCGGAGAAGATTTCATTGGCCACGACCCTCATCTCCCCTCCTGAGCCCACTCCCTCAAAGATTATGGAGCTGCAATTAAGCATAAAGAGAGAACGGTATTTGGTTGGGCCTTAGGCCTTGCCAGTATAAAACAGCAGCTAAAAGCTGTGAGAGCTCAGATTTTAAAGGGAGATAAGTGCTTATTCTTCCCACTGGAAACCTGGTTAAAAGAAATTAAGGCCTCTCTTAAAGGTAACTAAGATTAGAAGGCTCGATTTCCGTTTTCTGTGTTTCTGTGGGCCGAACGCCCAGGTCGGTCAGCGAGTTTCTCTGTGTGGAATGACGAATTCCTCTCGTCTGAATTCTAAAAAGATAACTTTGCCTGGTGCTGCAGCTGCGAACGTCTGGCGCCAAGCGACCCAATCCTGGCCGTGGCGTAGCTGAGGGAGGAGTGGGGGAGAGGGGAAAAGGGGGAAGAGCAGAGCCTTGGTGAAAAGTCCCGAGAGCTGCAAGAGGGGAAGTAACGGCGGCTCCTCCCGGCTTCGGCCCCTTTAAGTGCTTCACTGACTCAGCTAAGCTTCCCCCTCAGGTCGCGTTTTTTATGAATGAAAAACGTCCTTACATTCATTATATAAACAAGCCAATGCTGATTGGCCAATGGCCCCCGGTGCATAAATTATGTAAAACAGACCCCTGAGGGGGTGGAGAAAGACCTATCGTGGGCCAATAGGAGGTGGAGTTGGTGGGGCGGCTCCGCAGGATTTGCCCGAAGACAGGGTAAACAAGAAGTGATGGACAGCCGCGGGAACGGCCTCAGGCCAATGGGAAAGAGTCTGGGTTAGGGCCGCGGGCCAATGGCAGCGGGCGGAGCAGGGGGCTGCTGGGGGCCGGGCCAGCGCTCCAGCCTGGTTGGCAGCTGCCGCGCAGAGTCCAGCCGCTGGTGTACTGAGCGGTTCACCGTCTCCGGAGCGGCTCGACCCAGTCATTCGCCTAGGCGCCCAGGCCCGGTGCGCGCGTGCGTGAGCGCGCCTGCGCCGCCGGGACCGCTGCAAGGGGCAGAGAGCAGCATCCTCAGGTGAGTGGGCGTTGAGGGGGCAAAGGGGCATCACAAGGTGTGTCCTGCAACGGGTCCGAAAGGCCCAGACGGCGAGAGTTCACTGGCTGATTCAGAATCCTAAAGTCAGGGTGCACATCTGGGGTGAACCCCGGGGGCTGACTGGCCCCTCCCCCCAGCGTCCCGGTCCGGTCCGGTTCGGTTCCTGGGAGGCATCGGGCGGGGGCGGCTAACGGTTCCGGAGCGCGAGCCGAGCGGGTTTCCGCACATCGCGGGGGAGGCCCGCCCGAGCGCTAGGTGCGGGTGCGGGGCTCAGGATCGAGGTGGGGGAACGCGGAGTTGCGGGGCTTTACTGTCTCTGGAGATCTGGGAGCCCTGAGGGACTTGGAGGCTCGCGAGAAGAGACGCTTGGCGGAGCTTTGCAGTTAGGAGGAGGGGGCGGGAAGCAGCTTGAGGCTGAATGTTTGAGAGGTGCTCCCCCCACCCCCCGCAACACCAAAAAACCAAGAAGGGTTAAATGACATAGGCATGTGCAGCCTGCGGGTTTGGGGGTCGGCCAGGAACTTATGCAGCTCTTGCAAGTTTCAGATTTTGGAAAATAGACACCCAGTCCCCCACTCCAATTCTTAGCAGGGTAAGGGCACCGGGTTCCGCGGCGACTCTTGAGAAAATCCAGGAGCGCCAGAACTGCGGCCTGGGGATGGTAGAAAGAAACACAGTGCGGAGCGGGGAAGGAGAGATGCTGGAGCCTCGCGGTGGATTGGGGGTCCGGCTGCATTTTCAGAGGGAGCGGGGAACCGAACTCCTGGTGGAGGATGGGGTGCGGAGGCGAGATGTTTTGGGTTGGAGGGGGTAAATTGGAGGCGGTGGGTAGCACACGGCGCCGCACCTCGTTTTTATGAATGTGGGTGACTTTATGAATGAAGCGGGTTTCTTTAGTTGGCTCGCTGCTCCCTGCGGCTTCTTTTTTTTTTCTTCCCTTTCCCTTTTTGTGAATGAAGCATCGAGCTTTCTTCCTAAAACGCTGGGGTGAGGGGCCTGCGTTGGAGGCTGGGCGTGCGTTGGGAGTGGGGGCGGGGGCGCAGTTGAAGGAGTTTTCATGAATGGGGAAGGCTGGGAATTGGGTGGAAGTGTGTCTTGTTTTGTGAATGGGGCCCAGCGCTAGGGATCCAGTTACAGTCTCTACCTGAGTGGCGGCCGCGGCTCGCTTTCCCATTCATAAAACCAGGCCCGCTGCGCGCCACCGGGGAGGGGCCTCCATCGAGCCGCTGCGCTGTGTTGAAGTTTTCCTGGGGGCACCCGGGAGGGGGGGTGCACAAAGGAAGTGGTTTAAACTCCTGGATGAACTCGAGCCTTCCCTTCAGGCTTTAAAAAATACTTTGAACACAATGTTTCTAGTCCTTGAACTCTGAGGGCTGCTTTAGATCCTCCGTGCTCCTTTGGATTCGTTTATGGCAGTTTCTTTTATTAAAATATTAAAAGAAAATTTTTTTTCTTAGGGAGAAGTATTTCATCATGAAACTCTGAAAATATCTCCTCACCCCCCTCCCTGCTTTTCTCTTCGTTGTCTCCCTTCTCTGATAGACATTTACAGAATTCCTAAGGCCACGACTTAATCAGACAGATTTTCGAAGGCGTCAGAGAACTCTTTTTCATGCCCTTCAACTCAATGCTAAGATTTCTTAGATTTGCTGTACGGATTGGTGACATTTGAGAGAGGCTTTATTCTGAACGTTTTTGCGCTGTTAGGAAAGCAAGCAGGCAGGATGGCGGCAGTCTTTTTCTAGAAGTTATGAACTGTACTGTTATGCTCCTTTCTTTCCTTTGACTTTGAAAATATCTGATTACTCTGGCCAAGTGCTGAGAAGGCTGGCTGTGAAGAGTTTTCTTGTATCCTGCTCACTTGTGAAAATTTGATAGGTTCCACATTGTGAAAACAAATTGGATGGAATTGCCCATTGGGAAAAAAAAAGTTCCCCACTTAAAATTTATATGCAAGTTAAAGAAATTATTCATTAAGCATTGCTTAGGTCTGGGGTGAGTGAAATTAATGTTTTCCACCTTTATGTTTACCTAACTGCATTTTTATTTGGAGAATAAAATAAAGTTGGAAATGGTACCTTCGTAATATTGTTACTTTATTTTTCACAAATTAGGAAACATTCTCTCATCTTGCATTTGACCTCAATCTTTCCCCCCAGCCCCAACACATACCAGGAATGAAAAGAGTTTAATGCTGGGGGTGGGTGGGTGGAAAATGTCTTGGAAATCTGACCTTACTATAAGAAAATAAAATTTAAATTATAATTCATTTTTTAAAGGTCTTTGGTAAAAATATGTTTAAAATATGTACAGTGAAGTTGTTTATCAATTTCTTTTCATGGATATTTTATTCTTTTAGAAGTTGGAGATACCACAGGTATCTCTATAAGTTGCCATGGAGATATTTGTGACATTACAGACATACACCTGTTTGGACAGAAGGTTTAGGTTTTAAATATAAAGAGTTGTGTCTGAAGATAAGTATATTTCTGATCAGTTTTTTCTTTGGAATTATACATAGTGTTTTTTACCACTGACCTATAAAATACTTTTAGAAACACCATGTGTGTCAGATTCTTAATTGCCAATACTTTGGAGTACTTAAACCCAGTTTCTCTACTTCCTGTCACTGTATTTTTAAAACCCTACTACAAATGCTCTGGAGTATCTTCTATATCAGAGAATCAAGAAATCACCTTTTAATGATGAAAATAAGGTTTTTGGTTTTGGGGGAGTTTTGTTTGTTTGTTTGTTTGTTTTTTTTTTGGGTTAAGTTTTTTTTTTTTTTCTTGGTAGAGGAAAAGGAGTACCAAGTCTATAATCTTAATGATAAAAGAAAGACAGACAGACAATAATGACTGGGTAAATGGATTTGGCACTGAGTACATTGTGAACCTTTGATACCATTAATCAAGTTCAAAGTTGGTCTGAAAGCTTACACTTTGAGTGGGCTTTTAAGTACTTCAGAGAAGGGTAGTGATTTTGTACAACCCTAAAGAAAGGGCAGTATAAAATTGCTTCATTGCCCCCCGCCCCCGAGTTAAAATCTCCCAAATTCATATTACAGGAGGATCTCTTTTCCCCCAGAAATTACTCAATGCTGAAACCTTTCAAAGTGATATTAGAGAAGTTGGAAGCACCATGGATGGGTTTTATGATCAGCAAGTCCCTTTTATGGTCCCAGGGGTAAGTTTATGTGGCTTTTGGTTTGTTTTGTCCTCCCTCTTCAGTGAGTCGTCTTCTCATTTGTTAGTGGGTCAGTTCCCTTTGGGCCTCTTTACTATACTTCAATCTTGTCTGTTGGCCTCTTTCAGAAATCTCGATCAGAGGAATGTCGAGGGCGGCCTGTGATTGACAGAAAGAGGAAGTTTTTGGACACAGATCTGGCTCATGATTCTGAAGGTAGTGTAGCTTTCCCCTCCTCTGTTTTGTCTTCCTCACATCACTCCCAGTGATAGCAGCATGTAGACTCTTCCCCTCTTCTCCCTTGCAGAAGTAATAGCCTCATTCTGGGGTCTTCTGTTTTTAATTCCAGAGTTGTTTCAGGATCTCAGTCAACTTCAAGAGGCTTGGTTAGCTGAAGGCAAGTTTCTTGGCTGTCCTATTTTCCATATAAAACATTTTACTGTGCCTTTTAATAAAACTTAAAGATCTAAAATAAAAATCTCTTTTTCAGCACAAGTTCCTGATGATGAACAATTTGTCCCAGATTTTCAGTCTGATAACTGTAAGTACCTTTCTGGTGAAGACACATTTGTTCTGAAATTGGTTGGTTTGGGATCATCAATGTCTAGAATATTCTTTTCAGCCATACCAAGCTAATTTGGACAGTGGTATGCATGTAGTTTCTTTTAATAACTCAAAACTAAACCTGAAACTTTTTGTTCCATTTCTTATTGAAATTATTTCTGAAATGTTTCTACTCTATTGCAGGCAAGATTTACTGAACATAATTTCATCCTAAATTTGTTTTTTCTGCGGGGAGGGGCAGGGAGAGCATACTGGGGGTTGAACTTGAGAGCTTGCATATGTTAGGCAGACATTCTACTATTACATTACCAGTGCCCCCACACCTTCCCCCCGCCCCAGTACTGGGGATTGAACTTAGGGGCACTGTTAACCCTAAGCTACATCCTCAACTCTTTTATTTTTTATTTTTTGAGACAGGGTCTCACCAGTCATGCCCTGACTGGCCTCAAATTTGCAATCCTCCTGAGTAACTGGAATTACAGGCATATGCTACTGTGCCTGGCCTAAATTTCTTTTTACTTTTAAGAATATTGCAAAGGGGCTGGGGATGTGGCTCAAGTGGTAGCGTGCTCGCCTGGCATGCATGCGGCCCGGGTTCGATCCTCAGCACCACATACCAACAAAGATGTTGTGCCGAAAACTAAAAAATAAATATTAAAATTCTCTCTCTCTATCTCTCTCTCTCTCTCTCTCTCTCTCTCTTAAAAAAAAAAAGCTGCCTTCTGCTTTAAAAAAAAAAAAAAGAATATTGCAAAGCTCTGATCTCAAAATTGTAAATTAACTGACATATAAGATGCTGGGCCAAACAATTATTAATCATCCGAGTTCTTATAGCTTTTTTTTTTTTAATACATTAAGCCTTTGATACAAATGATGAATCTGGATATTTTTTTTCTTTTAAAGAGGCAGCAGATAGTTAATGGGAAATTCCAGTTAATTGTGGTTTCACTCAACATGTTAATTTTGTTTCTGCTAAGCTATCAGAGGGTGTCACAGAGTGACCTGATTTTATTTTTCTTGCAGTTGCTGTGCCTTTACTGTTCATATAAGAGTAAAACCTTTTTATTAAAATGGTCATTAAGTGCTCATTACTTGAGATAATAAGATGCAGCTTGTGGCTCCAAAGATGGCTTTAGGTGCTGACAGGAGCACGGTTGATTTTGACCTGAAGTGGGGGGGGGGGGCTGTCTTCAACAGGTTTGGGAGCTTTTATGGTCCAGGCAGAGCTATCAAGGACAAAGCTGGCTGATGAAATTTGAGCAGCACAGGGCTGCTCTAGAGAACATTAGTCACTGGCGAATGAGCAGGTTTAAGAGAGGCCTGGAGAAAATGCTGTCTCTCTTGAGAGTTGCATCATAGAAAAATTCATGTCTCTTAGTCATAGTTTATAATAGCAAGCACCTGAGCCAGGCAAGGATTCAATTTCTCATTTTGCACCAAGATTTTTCCCACCTTTTTAAATCTGTGTGCGCGCGTGTGCGTGTGTGTGCGCGCGCGCGTGTGCGTGTGTGCGTGCGTGCGTGTAAAAATGCCACTGGGAGAGAGGGTATCTTTGAATCTAAGTAAAAGCTGGGTATTCTAAATCTATTAAATGAAAGAACAGAGGTACCAGCTAAACATTCTTTAATGATAGGCCTTATGTCCAAGGCACAATGCCATGAAACTTTAAAAGGAATAGACTAACACAGAGATGCATGGTTACCTTAGCTTTGTCGTAGCTTGCTGTGGATGTTTTCTATATGAAAGGAAATGCTTATTAATTATTGCCCTTTGATTGCTTTCAAGTGATTGAGAAGCTTGCCACTGAAAGGCTAAATAAAGATAATTCAAATTTTTTTTTGTGTGTGTGTGTGTGTGAGAGAGAGAGAGAGAGAGAGAGAGAGAGCAAAATGAAAGACAGAATTTGTAATCTAACTTTGTTCTGTGTTGACAATTTGGCCCAGCCTTTCCATTTCTTGCTCAGAGCAACATAAACTAGAGTCTGTTTGGGAGGTGGCTTTCTTGGCAGAGGTTCTTTGAAACATTTTTATGACACTTTTGTTTGTTTCTCTGTAACCCAAAAGAGTTAAAAGGGAGGTGATTGCCTGTGCTGAAGCAAAGGTCTGTTCATAAGAGAAAGATGTCAGCAAATAAGATTTGTATTTGAAAAGATATTTATCTGGAAGAACAAGCTAAAGCAAAGAAATCAATAAATGTGTTTTGGTTCCTTAGAAATAATTCCTGCTTAGTGAATAGAATGTGCTAAGTTCAGTAATTAAAATACCATACCTTAAATGGAGGTGCTTTGGGAGATGTCCCTGATTACCAAGTGTGAGTTTTTTTACTTTGCTTTTTGCTTTAAATGCTTAAAATTGAGTTTTTCTATATTTTAAGGATAAAATTGCAGCCTAGAAAAGCCTCCTATAGCTCTTTCCCCCTCTAACTCTTATTTCTTGACATGGAGCTTAGGGAAGGATAGATTTAAATAGGTTTACTTGTTGAGAGGTTGGGCAAGAGCGCCATTATGGGGCAGTGTGGCCTTGAGCTGTTCATTCAGGCTGATCTATTTGTGGTTCAGACTGACATGGAGCCCCAGAAGAACTGCCAGAGTCCACAGCTGGGCAGGGCAGAGCAGAGAACCCTTACTTCTTTGGGAAGACTTTCCACAGCCTTGTGTTGGAGGCCTCCATTCTAGTTATCTCTGGAAGAGGCCATGATTATTCCAAGGGAGGGAAAGAAACGTATTCAAATTTAATGAAGTCTTAGGAGTTAGTTTGAATCACCCAATCAATGAATTGTAAACCACACTTATAATTGCCAGGAAGAGCAAACCTTTTTTCCCACAGTATCAGAAACATTTGTAATAAATGTTCTTACCAGTAACCACTGATAATGTCAGCTTATCCTGTTAAAATGATTTGATTTAATTTTCCGGTATGCATGAGAGTGTGTGTAAGTATTAAGAAAAAACTGCTAAGTAATGTGAGTAATTATTTTTTTTATTTTGGGATATCAGTTTTGAGGATTATGACTCTTTTGGGGGGGATAAACCCTTAAGTTTAACTTCTAAAGAGATTCTGTTTTCTAAGTTTTTCAGATTTGGGTTCCCTGCCCATAGATATCCATCCCTGGGTTATATGAATAAATGAAACTATTGTAAGTCTTATGGAAATGTCCAATTTACTTCTAGCTATGCAGACATTAATGAAGTATCTCTTACTACAAATTCCTAAAAGTCAAATTCAAGGAAGGAGAAAGTGTGACTTATGGACTATAAGCGTTCTACCAGTACCTTCCATTGTCCCTTGGTCCTGAGAAGTAACCCTAAAAATCCTAGACTGTTTGAGCTGGAAGTCCCTTGTAGAGATCATCTTGTCTCACCCCTTCATTTTACAGAAGAGATAATATAATGTCCAAATAGCTGAAGAGACTGACCATTGGTTTGGCGGCAAATAGGTTTAGGTGAAATGAGAAGGAAAAAAAAAATCTACAATAACATCTTTTAAGAAACTCTCACAGAGCTGCAGAATCAGGCTATGGGCAGGCTCAATGGATTCAAAACCCTGTCTCATCATTTCAGATACCTGGAGGTGACTCTCAGGAGAAAGCCTTAGGGAGATTGCCAGCCATTTAGTCCATCACCTCAATTCTCTTCTGTAATCCCAAGAAAGCTATTACATCTAGTGCTTCAAGTTTTTCCATTTAGGATTTGGAAGAGAGCAAGAAATTATAAAACAGAAAAATTATTAAAACTGATATTTCCTTAAAGACATATTAATGTGTATATACATATTTTATGTGTTTATAAATCACTGCACGTATGTGTATCTATATAAATGAATGTGTAGCTAAATACGTACATTATCATATAGACTACAAAACCAGGGAATCTGGGTCAGTATATCCATATATACACATCTTTACTACACATTTTTACAGAATTAACAAATAAAAGTCATAGATAAGATTGGTTCTCAAAAGCTCTTCAATGTGGGGGTGGAGTACATGTTACATTCTTTTTTTTCTGAACTGACTACTTGGGTACTTACGGGAGTAATACTAGATTTTGGTATATATAAATAGCAGTTTTTAAAAATGCAGACTTCAGGGCTGGGGCTGTAGCTTAGTGGCAGAGCACTTGCCTTGCACGTATGAGACACTAGGTTCAATCCTCAGTGCCACATAAAAATAAATAAAACTACAAAAATAATTTAAAAACATGCAGAACTTAATTTCTTATTTTTTAAAATATCTCTCATTTGTTTCAGTGATGGTATTGTGAATACCACCATCAGGATCTTGAGTAACAAAAATATTTAATACTGAGGAAAGAGCATGATAAAATCTTATTTTAAAATCATAGCTACAATTTAAAGGTTTGTTCTAAAATTCAAATGACCCCATTTTCCCCTTGAAGTGTCCTTTTTAGACCTGTGTTTCAAAAAGAATGGAACTACTGAAGGAAGTACAAGTAATTTCCTAAGGACTGACTAATTAACTGATAAGATCAACTTTTCATAAATACATTGCAGTAGATGGCTGGGGAAATAGGATTAATTGTTATGACAGCCCTTGAGCCTAAAACACATTGATCTTAATCCTGTGTCACTGTGAGATTATTCTGCTGAAAAAAAAAATTTCTTTTTCTTTTAACATGGGAAGCAGATATAGTAGAAATAATCAGTTCCTTTCTTTTGGGCAAGGCACATCTTTCTGACCCTGATGGGGTGTAGAAAGCTTCCACGTTTACTTGCTCTGAGGTCTAGGGCCATTTCCATTTGAAAGGATCCTCCTAAACTCTTTAGCATTGTTTGGAAGATAAGAAAGAGAACTGTAGGCACTTCACAAAGGAGAGGCATAAGAAAGTCAAGGCTATTGGTTTATACTTTTTAGGAGCAAGTGGTTCTGTAGGTAGGGAGAAGGAAGAAAAGAATGCTGAAGAAAGCATAAGGAAAAGCATGGTCCAATTTTACAGAGTGACTTTCAATGTCTTTGTTA